AACATAAACACGCATGAGCCACTTGTATTGTAATAATCTCAACCTAGAATTCATAGTTTGCTTATGGACTTTATGACAAGCCAATTCCCATTCATCTAATGACAAATCTCTTTCCAAATCTTTCTTCCAAGCTTCTAATTTTGAAGTTGAATCATCAGAAGAATTTGACAGCAATAGTACTTTTTTTACTTTTACTTGAGTAAAGGAGTTGAATCAGTGCTTCTACTTTTAACAGAGTCCATTTGGTATCTCTACTCGTACTTAAGTAAACAATATGAGTACGTTTGTCATCTCTGACAGACACACAACATAAGTGGTGCTTATTCATTTTTAAAGAAGTAAATGTTTTTTTTTTTTTACAGGTCACTACAGTTCAAGTTAATGATTAAAGTGGCAACAGTAAAGTCTAGTCATAGCACCACACAGTAAACCTCCTATTCTGCTGTAGATCACTGCAATCAGCTGCACAGTCACTTCCAGAGTGCACGAAATGTTTCTTCATCTGTATAAATTCGATGTGGGTCTTCTTCTTTTTTTTTTAGCAGATGGGATCTCTCCTACAAAGCTGCACATCTGTACACAAGCCCGAGTGTTGTTCTTCCTCTGACGCGCCAGATGCGTCCTCTGCTGTCACCTTAAAGTTACACACAACAGAGGATCAGCTGTGCGTCTCTGACCCGCCGGAGACTCGGCGTGTTGCGATGGGACGGACTTTTTTTTTTTTGGCAGAAAGCATCCTGATTCGCTGCTGTCTCCGGATACAAACACTCCTCCTCCTCCTCCTCCTCCTCTTGATCTCACACTACTACACGCCTGTCCTCTCGCTCGTGCCACCGTCAGTCCCCCCATCCGACTCGCAGCGGTCGGTGCTCGATTGGTTCGGTCTGGAGCAACCATGGCAGACCTAGAGGATAATGTTACAGTCCCCGAGTTCAGCTGCCTTCTCCAAATGGATCCCTATCTCAAAACGTACGAGAAGGACTTCAAGAGGAGGTAAAACGCGGCTCAAACGGCGGTTTTTACGCACGGATTGTCTCCAAAAAATCAATCCCCGATCAAGCGAGAGACGGAGAGAGAGAGGGGCAGGCTTACAAATGGCGTGTCTTGCACTAAAAACAACACACACAGAGAGATACAAGGCGATGTCTGCAACACACCAGAGAGTCACCTTCTGTTGATCAGGGTTTGACATTTTGAATGAGTTGGGGGTCGCGCAGAGCTCAGCTAGCTTTGCTATTCTCCTCCTCCCACCAACACCAAACCTCCCTCCTCTTTTTATTTCCAGGCTGCAGAATAATAACACGCGTTTAGAAGATGAAAGATGTGCAGCTTATGCAAATTTAATGAAGCGCTATCAGAAAAGTCGTTTCACTTTACGTGACGAGTTTGCAGGGAGGAAGCAGTCGTCTCTCAACTTCCTCTGCGTGACAGTTGGAGCGCGTTTGGCAGTCAGGTGACGTCCACGTTGCGTCGTGAGCCGCTTGCGTTGGGCTCAGTCTCGCCTGTTTTGTGGCATCACAGCACACACTTTTATGTGTCTGGGTTTTCTGCTCTGTAGTCATGTGGGGCATCATCTGTGCCAAAAATGTGTCGTAAAATTGCATTAGCATTTTTTTTTGGATGCATCTTCTTCTCTTTTCTGGTGTTAAAGGCTGAGCAGCATGTTGCACGGTCTGGATTTGACCTCCAAGCAAATACACTTTTAGAGTTTTTTTGGCTTTGTGTTTATCACAAATTCCAAGTCGTACTTTTGTGCAGTTGCCAAAAGTATGACAGCTCACCCGGATTGATTCCAAGATCTTCTGACCAGACTATGTTCTGTTTGTTTGCACGAAGCTGTAATTTGTTTTACAAGTAATGAACGAACCAAAGTGGAAAAAAGACAAAGAATGTAAAAGTCTTGTAGGAAACAGCTGCAGCGATTGTTCATGTTGATAATCGGTTTAAATCAAGACAAAGAAGTAGAAATCTTCTGATTCCAAGTTGTTAATAGTGAATATTTTTAGTTTTTGCTCCTCTGAACTGAATCTCTGAATCACCATTTGACCATTTCATCTATTTTTTTTGTGGATTGTCATGTTGTATACCGACAAAGTTACTTTAGATACACAACCAGATGTTCAACATCTTCCAGATTTAGTTTATTTAATATAGAATGACCCGACGTAACATGTCTGCCTACGTTCTGTGGTAGAAGTCCTCCTCTCCAGCTCTGCCTCCAGTTTGCGTGTAACCTTTACAAAACAACTAATTGATTGATTGCAAAATAAATAAAATGAACACGTTTATCCACAGACCTGTCCAGGGTGTCCCCTGCCTTCGCCCTAAGTCGGCTGGGATAGGCTCCAGCCCCCCACGACCCTAGTGAGGATTAAGCGGTGTATAAATAATGGATGGATGGACGTTTATCCACAATGAAAATAGTGTCTTAACAGCTATTTTTGGCATTTCTTCTATTGCCAGTTAGAGATGCACGAGTTCTAAATGAAATTAATCCTCCTCCAGACTGTACCCGCTGTGATCAAACTGTTTCGACAAAACAGTCAGATTTATGCACGTCATATCCTGATTTCTCCTTTTCATGTTTTGACAAATTAATCATGGCTCCCTGCGACATGACATTCCACAGACAGAGATGTCACCTCGCCAAACACATTCACGTGGCATGATTACATTTAAATATACGCTCTCAGGAGAGATGAAAACATTCAAAAAAAAAAAAACCCTTTCAATATAATCAGATTTAATTATCTGAAGTTAAAGTTCAGAGACATCAGTTTTTCTAATTAGTCAATTAAGAGATTGTTTAATCTTTGTCACTTTTATCACCCGAGAGGTGCCGAAATAACACCGCAAATATTTGCAGGAAATAACAGAGCAGATATTTGCTGATTGTGACGACTGAAATAAACCCACGTTTTTAAATGGGGGTGAAAATTTGCTTAAATTAGCTCAGCGCCTCACACAGACGTGAAAAAAGACAAACATGTGTCCTTCGGTGGTAAACGTACTGACCTTGTGCCTACACTAATCTGAAAAAGTAAATAGACACTCTGTTAGTCAATAGACTGAGCAGACTCACGTGTAGTTTTTTTCTTTTACATCACTTTTTGATGTCTTTTAACTGACGTGAGCCCATTTTTTAACCTGATAAACAGACTGAAATGAAGGGATGCACTTAAGCAATGACTGTAGCGACACAGTTTTTTAATTTAATAGTCATGAAATGTAGATTTTGTTGTCATACTTTACTCTTTTTTTGCTTAATGGGAGAACACCTGGCTCACAAACTGACTTTCTGATTCTTAACCTCAATTCCCCACCTCGTGTCAAATTAGCCTGACCTGCTTTTTTTTTTTCTGTCATGATTTTTACTTATGAAGCTGACAGTGATTCTGATCTCCGGCTCACACTGCTGTGGTGTCTGCTCGCTGTTGGGTCGTCCCTGACACTAGGGTTTAAAACTCTGCTCAGGGGCCGTATAGTTTTATCCATTTTCATTACCATGTCAGCTCTTGTTTCTAATGTGGCAGGTAAGGGACCTCCTGCTTTGTATTTGAAGCATGCGAGCAGGGCTCTAGCCTTGCAGAGAGATGAGCGTGTCAGTTCCATCTCAGACACAGCTTGGGATTTCTAGGCTTCGCCGAGCCCTAGACGTGTCTCAAACACCTGTCCCGCTGATGAAAGTTGCACATAAATTATTTTACATATAGGATCACCGCTGTGTGAAGGTTAATTCGTGATAAGCCCTCGGTGTTCTAAGACCACGGAGTCCAAACACCGTATCGTGAACACAGGCAGAAATCAAGAGCCTTCTCATGCTGCGGCGTCGTGCTGAGTCCCAGTGCTAAGAATTCAGCCGGCTTATCAGAAAGAGACCTATGACCACACACAACTGATTCTTTAGATTTCACCACCATGTCATGGCTCAAGGCTGCCCACATCTCAGGTTTGTTGAACTTTTTGGTTCACGCCACATACAGGCCGCCGGTGCACGGACATTTGAAATGACTCCAGCAGATTTTGCAAGTCTCTCCTCGTTCTAATTAGCCATTCGGCGGTTGCGGGCGGCTCTTATTTTTTATCTTATCAGGATGCTGGTTTCAGATTGATTGTGAAAACAAGCGTTGATGCTGCACGCAGGTTACAGCCCCGGTGAGCAGTGCTCTGTTGACATTCTTCATTATTTACTCTTCCTGTTGAGCAAGTCTGCAGGAAGTGCTGCTAGAATTTTTGCAGCTCAGGGCACCATGTATCTCCTAAATTGGACCAAATGAAAGTAGGGAGCAATGGGACCGCTGCTTATTATGGCAAAGGTTTTATTTTTTTTTTTGGCTAAGATTTGAGTACGTCATCTCAGATCATTTCAAAGTAAATACAGAGCAATAACTCTGGGTTTTGTGCTTGTGATGGTGATAGTTAAAGCAGAAATTAAATGTAAATAATTAAATGGAAAACTGGACAGCTTGCATATTCTCTTGCAACCTGTTGTGTTTTATCGAATGAATCTTTTATGTGCTTTTTTTTTAAAAGTAGCTTTCATTTATTTTCCTGTCACCTTGCTTGGGGGCCAACAAAGGTGAGAATTTAGCAGGGAAATTTCGCTTTCATCAATCAACCTCTCTTTAGCCTCATTAATGCACTTAGTCAAGAAGGACGTTAATGACATTATTTGAAAGTCACCTTGCTGCTGGCCTGTGCGGAAGGCCCCCTCTGTTTTTTTTTTAAAGCAAGCTAAACTCAAGAACAGAAAAGCTGTGTTTCTTCAGGCTGTTGCAGACGGTCTTGACACCTCTATGCTTCAGCTGTTACCACCAGTCATACACAGCACAACAGACCTGAACGCTGGCTCTAAATTTAGACGCCCAATTGTCTAACAGAGAGTGTGCGAAACGGGTTGTAGAGTTCAGCTGCTCTATCAGGAGAATTTCAAAAAGTGGTTTGTAGTCGTGACAGAGGGTTTTAAAAAATTGAGGCTGCGCTTTGCTTAAAAACAACAACCAAATGTCAAACTGAGTGTGTAGGTGATCTTTTTTTTGGTTCATTTTGATATTTCCTTTGCCTTACCATCACTAATACCTGCATTTGCATAATTGTAGTAAAAAAAACAAAACAACAACCTTCTTTCATTCAGCTGCTCAGATCCAGTTCACATTCACTTCTTTGAATGAAAGAATCAACAACACTTCCACATGGGATTTAACGTCAGCATTGCACTATAAGGAGTTCGGGATTTTGTCAACAGACATCTGCTTATTGATCATCATTATGAGAATGCCGTACATCTCTCTTACTTTGTCTTGTTCGTCAAGTCATTTGCACATTTCAACCTAATGGTCTGGATAATCCGAATTATTGTCTGATTAAGACGTCCCAAAGATTTATTTCACATATAATGAAGATGAAATCAACTCTGCAGGAAAGAAGGGAAAAGATTTATTTATTTATTTTTTTGCAAAAGTTACAGTGCCATGAAAATGAATTGGCTGCAATTTATCAGACTATATTGGGTGCACTTGTGTTGACCTGCAAAAATCTGTATTAATTAGAAGATGTTGTTACATGAAACCGAATGAAAACGGGAGTCGGAGGTTTAACCGTTGGTGGATGTGTTATGTTTAGCTAAAAATGCTAAAGCGCTTATAAACCAACGAGCGAAAAATACACATTTTTTGGTCAACGCCGTCGATTGTTTGTTTGGTCCTAAATGCAGCTAATTTGTGATTTCTAGTCCAATGAAACACTGGTTATCCTCGATGTAGTTTGAGTTTAGTGCTGATTAATAGATGTTTGCATGCTGACACTCTGAACTAAGATGCAGAGCGTGTTAAACACTCCACCTGCACAGCCGCAGCGTTGTTAGCATGTTAGCATGCTAAAGTAGCATCTCACCAATAGCACAGCTTTGCCTATGCAATGCAAAATAGAACTCGAATATGAGAGAAGGAGCTGCCGTACGATTTTACGTTACTTCAAAAAATATGCTATTATGT